CTTAAATAAAAAATATATACTATTTTTAAATGCTCGCACATCATCATGATATACAATAATAAATACATAAAATTTCTACGAGGAACTTCGTTACTAAACGACTTTATTTCAACGTTATCGGAAAATGAATATTATCTTCTTTAAGGACTAAATGTTATAGTTTTAGTTTTCTTGCCATTTTCACACTTTTAGGCCTTGTTTTGTTTTGGAACCTAAAAAAGTGAATGAAGACTATAATATTAAAAAAAAAATCAAAAGCAATCGCAAAAAAAAGTAAAGTTATTGGAGATGACAACATTTTTAGCTCTGTTTGAAATCGACCCAGAAAGCAATGATTCAAAAGAATTTCACGCGACAGTTTATATGGATTAACTTGGGTCAACGAAATTTATGCCGGAGCCCTATCTACATTCCATTTACTTAATACACTGATAATCCACACAATGTATGAATGTAGTCATATTTAACGGTATCTATAAACTTTTTTGATTAACATAATGGAGTTTTATGTTCGCTACGCATAAAGATAAATAACTATTTTCATTCTTATTAAGATGGAATACTTAAATATGAATATTGTTATGAATATCACTAAAATAAACAACCACTTATACAATAATAAAGTATATTTAGATTTTTAGGACATGACTTAGTTTGGAGCAGCAGTTTTGTCCATGGACACAAAATCACATCATTATAGAAATTATAATATAATTTACATACCACATTCATAGTTTTAATCTAATTAAACTGTCAAATACCAAGCGGTCACCGGTGACCGCAACCTATTGTTCTATAATTGTGTCTGCAAAACCGGTACTCGACGAGTTAAAATACAATATTATAGTGTTTGTGCGTGTGTGTTACTGTCAAAATGAAGAAAATTAATTCAATCTAAACACATAGCCATTTCGTAGCACGCCGCTACGTTCCGTAGCAAGTGGCTACGACTCGTAGCGGACGACTACGAATTCCCATATGAAGTTTTGACTGGATAACTAGATTTGCTAAAACAATTTTATGCTACAACATGGCTTCGAAACTGTTAGCAAACATGAATAGGTACATAACATCATGCCTGTCCCTCATTGGACAAAGATAATACCACAATTCTAAAATATTCGCTCATTCGCTTTTATGCTCACAGTGACACCACCACCACTCAAAAAAGTGATAATGACTATTCTCTTATAATATCACTAAAGAGCAATCAAATCTTAAACGCTGACCGTACTTTTCAAATCTGAAAACGTTACGATAGAAACGAACGAAACTAAAACGTAAACACCGTAAAATGACCTGTATTCGAGTTCCAGTTGCAACAAATATAAACAAGCAGATTAAATGGTCTCTGAAAGACGACAAAACTATTAGATCGCGGGCTGCTTCAGGAGCTAACGAGTGTGTCGGCGGCGTCTGGCGGCGGGCCAGCCGCAGCCGAGGCATAAATTGCGGTCTGATGCTCACCACTCGCCACTCGGCACTCGCTAATACCTCGCCTGCCCGCGCCTGCCCGCGCCTGCCCGCGCCCCGACTCGCGAAATCGACAAGGGCCGACATTACAATTAACTTTCAAGTTCCAGGCCACTCATTCAAACTCTATAATACAGCGGGCATGCTCTCTAATTAACGACAAATAATTGCTATTTATTAACAAACCTTTCACCAACTAACAATCTTGTCGTGTCCTATTTCGCTCACTTTGCCTAAACATAAAGATGATATTATACAAAATACGTATATTTCACAGTTACTTTATGTTACGCGTCCCACATAATGGACTTTTGAATACTGGGCACCATATATTATTTTATTACTCTTAAGATCTAATAGTATTATCCTTATTATATGCTTTTAGGAACTGAAATCTGGACATCAAACTAAGCTCACTAGCCTTGTTTAACTCACTAAATCAATGCACCAATAAATCACATTTAACGCGTTGCAGATGAATCTTTTTTAAGTTATATTTATGACATTTCATGACTTAAAATTGCCAATTATGGCACAGTTAACCATAAATTCTTCTCAATTTTAGTCAATGGTGATATTTATTCGTTCGTCGAACGGGTTGGTTTTCCAATATGCTTCCCTCAATTTATATGAAATACTAAATTGCAATAGCATAAAACCAATTTTGAGAGGCAATAAAGTGTGTATACGATGTAGTTTATGGCATGTATAGAGAGCATCGAGGCGCGAGAGGGCGGGAGGGCATGGCGCGGCAGCCACATGGCGCACAACGACTTCCGGCGCGGGAGTTCGACAGCGCAATAGGCGGAACTATAACACAGACACGGAGCAGCGGCATATTGCCTATTGTTTGGCATCTCCGACTCTTGGCATCGAACTTTAACTCAGCGCCGACCGACTGCCCTGTCAGCTTAAGTACTTTACCCCTATAATGTATGAATATTAACACACAAATTTGGAAAATAGAACCATTCTGCTGACTCATTTAACTAAACAAATGTAATTATGAGCTTCAATCGAACAATGTTCACAGGATCCGATCAATAACAAATAAACTTAATTCCATTGATTTTCTCCAATGACGCACATCGTATTTATCGACATTCTAACAACTGTTTAATCATTAAGGTAGTTAGTAGTCAAGGAAATAGAAAAAACATTTTCTTACCTTCTTCGTAGTATCAACCAAAGAAATAAAACTTTAAGAAATAAGTATTTATTACACAAGACTGTATATTTGTGTAACTTTACGTTAAAACATCCAAAATTAAGTAAAAGTTTAATATTTTGTTACAATTTAGAATCAGTTTTGTAGCGATATTTCATTTTAAACCACACGAGACCATAAAAAGGTGAACCGCTGAATGTAAATTTGACATTGTGTGGTCGTTTATTGTGTTAGTTAGTTCTAATAGAGAAATATAGGTTTAAGAGTGTTGCAGTGTGCGCAACTTCTACTACAACAGACTATTATTGTATCTACGATAGCGTTTACTTTTAATTTGTATCAAATTGACTGGATATTAGATACTGAGCTAGCTTCAAATGCTCTCGAATCCAAGTCCAGGTGTAATAAATAAAATAAAAATATATTTTATGTTTATTTATAAATTCTGACCCCACATTGACCATCAACGGTGAATGAAAGAGTTTATTCAACAGAAATTTGATTATCTAATTAAAATAATACACAAAATCAATCAAACGAAGTTACCCATTCTTGTTTTGACAGTTTTGGTAATTTACTAATACAAATGCGATGTGATGGCGTCATCATCATTTTTCATTAAAAACATTGTCAGTTCCAACCTACGTACTTTTGGTAATATTATCAAGTGGCATTTGAATTAATAGATTACCACAGCAGTCAAAACAAAAACATTGTTATAATTGTGGCTAATATTCCGCTGTTTCATGTAATTGGACATGGCGACCTGACTAAGAATTCAGAAGAAAGTCTGTATTTATGTTACTTAATTAGGTATGTAAATTAATTAATTATTGTCAACGACTGTAAATTTATATAGCCATTGTTTTACTGACCTTCTCAGAAGACCGATATTACAGTAAGATAAGTAAAAACAACGAACCAAAACCGAAACACCTACGCTCATTCTCACAATTACTCTAATATAATATCATTATGAAGTCGCAAAACTGATGTCTACCTGCCTGCAGGCAGTTTTAAAATAATCGTAACCTTTCTGTTTTTAACATGACCCTTCGACCTGCTCATCGATGTTGGTATAAATATCCCCAACTGGTTGTAAGCTACATAATTTAGTACTAAGCTGACCGATCGATGGTGTTTCGGACATCATACTTACTGCGCCTACATTAACCGTAATCCATATCACGGAAAAATATTATTGTTTCCAAGAAATATTTTCTATGAGAAATGTATAAGTAAACAAAACGAACTTCTCATGTTTCAATTTCCTGATTACGATACGAATTATGATTGGTGAAGACGCACCGCTGCGTGGGTGTTAACATGAACGATATCCTCAAATCTTTTATA